ATAAAATATGCTCCATCGTCCTCGTCCGCTTTTAACTCGAACCTTCCAGAAAACATCGCACAGAGCATGGAATCCGGATCCTTTCTCAGAGTGTCCAGTGTTGTTTTATAAATCTTACCGCCGACATTCAACTTGATCGCGCTAGCAAAGTGGACTTCATTCAGAGTTTTTGTTATCTCTTCGATGGCTGATTTTTCTTGTCTTGCATTGTTTAGATCTTGTTCTAACAACTGGCGACCTTCAGCCAAAAGCTTCTGTGCTAATTCAAATAAGCTCAGTTCTTCTTCCTTCGGTGTAGCCGTAGCCATAACTGTTAACAGTGGCAACGCGATCTGAACTGTCCTTGCAACCCGGAAGTGTTCTCTGTCTGCGGTTCCAAAAGCGAAAGTTTTCAAATGAGCCCCGTTCTTCCTAATCAGCGCTAGACTACGATACAGGTAAGTACATAGTGTAACAATCACATAGAGAAACTGCATTTACAGCCCACGGGCTAGTGCAAGGATGCAAGCGATACAGTACTAATACGACAAATGAATTATGAAGTCTGCTTTCTCATCCGAACGTAATATTGAACGTTATGACTCTCAGAGCCCACTATGTTGTAGGTCTTGAATAAGAGTATCTGTTGTTTTTCTTCATAAAAGAATTGAACAGCATTCACATGTAAACGTTAAAAGAGAAATAAGCCTCCCATCCCTAGCAAGCGCCCAGTAAGTGCCCTACATTGAGTTGCCAAAAGTAGCTACCGTTGCCGGGTGCTAAATGCTTCAGTTTTCCCCTCTCCTTCCCTTTTGAGCGCCTACCAGGCAGACTATACACTGTATTACGAAACTTATTGTCTCCGTGCTGTAAATTGCACGCTGCAGTTCTAGAGATTGTCTTACTAGTTTGCGTTCCTCAAGCGTTGAAACGGAAAAAATTTCAGGAACTAACGTTGCTTCTTTTCTCCTTTAAAGAATTTAAAATTTCGTGTGTTGCATGGTTTATAACAATCTGCGGCTGATCCGTATAGGCTAGAAGAACAGAGAAGAAGATGGACCAGAAAGTAACGTCTGTTGTTGACATTTTTTCCTGTTTTACTGAGTAACCAAATAAAAGAGGTGTGCTTAATTGTACGGAACAATCAAATAAAGCCCTTTGTACTTAATGGCATTATAGCAAGATCCATCACACAACTTAGAGGTCTTTGGAGCTGGAGTGTTCCTTTTATTTGTGGGAAGGCCTTCGTTCCCCTCCTCTCCCCTCCCGAGTATAATTGATCTCCGCCATTTTGGCACGTGTGCAAGAATAGTGGGAAATGGAGTTTATAGTTTGTACCGCCGTAGTTTCACAGGTTTGTTCTTTGTTTAAGAAATGGCTCGAACTAGTGATGTTTTATGATGACAAGCTTATTTGCTTTACTGTGTTCATCTTGTCGGATCAGCATGTGGAATATGGGGCCGTCGTGTGTTTGTTGACAACCTCTGCATGAAGACCTCCGGACGAAGGTGAGCTTGAAGTACTTTGTTTTAAAGTGTGAATTGCCTTACAATTTGATTCAATAAATACTAGACTAGATAATAAGATAGTAAATAAAACGTTGCATGTGTTCCCATCAGAGTTGATGTGGATATAAACTGACAAACGTGCAGCCGTAACCTCTGGCCCCCCGAGGGGTACTCCCTTATATTGGCTATATAGGTATGTGCGGCCCCAAATGCTATGGTTTTTCAGCTATTTTGGTCATAAGTAGGGTATGGGTTTTGCACTCTAGCCTTGATATGGGTATGTTTTTAAGAAGAAGCAACTTTTTCATCATTATCGAAAAGAAAATCAGCAAAAGCCCTTCACAAATTATGTCGGCGCGTAATTTAACATTGGTCTGAACTAGGGAACTAATTATAACGCAAGTCAGAAACAGGGTTTTGATTTAAGGGTTAGGTCATAAATAGAGTTTCGAATTTTTGGTCAGGTCATAAATATGGTAGTGAAATTCGCAGATTTTGGTCATAAACATGGTAAGGGTTTTCGGAAGCGGGCCGCACACCCCCACCTGATTTTTCCGGGAGTATCTCCCCGGGTCTCTGGCAGATTGTTGAGTTTACAAACCGAAAATCGTTCTCATTCTATCATTTTTACCGATCCACTTCAGAACACTTCTGCTTCTCCACTTTCTAGGACCACTCACGGTAGTCAAGGAACTTAGAGCACGTATTAAAAAGGTGAGGATGAACATTTGATGGATAAATTTAGTTTTCGCGCGAGGGATAAGATCGGCAATGACTGTAACCCGCACTAAGTTAATGTCATATAATGATGGCACGGTAACATGTATTTAAGAAATAAAAAAAAATGTACCGTGTTTCTACCGAGTTTTAGTATAAATCTACTAGCGGTCTATCACGAATGCCGTCCTCTGATTGGCTACGCTACTCACGTTCTATTCTGTGATAGGTCGGTGAGTAGCGTAGCAGCGTGCGTTGGGGGTAGCTTCTTTGTGTTTTCGAAGTGTCTGTGAAGAAGATTTAGATGAAAGTTTTGAACGACTAGTAGATTTATACGAAAATAATTAGATTATTCGCTCTCGATTTCTATGCGTGATAGTTCACGCGATAGAAATCTCGAGCTCATAATCTAATTGTTTAATAGAAACACGATGATTTTTAACCAATCAGCGCGCGTATTTTCTTTGGGCTGTTTTCTAACATTACTTAGCTCTTACAGAATTAAGAGTAAAATTCTAAATATCAACTTTCCTATCCCTAAGTAACCCTCGTGTCTCCCAGAAAGTGTTACGTTTCCTCTGTTAAAAGCATGTTTGACAATTTGATCGGAACATCAAACGGTGATATACAAATGGCGGACTGAAGGAGTTTGTCCTTGTTGTTGAAACTTCAGATGCGTTCAGTGTCTAGAGATCAAAAGAAGGGCCAGTTTTATTAGAGAAATGTAAGGTTTAGGAGTTTATCTTTCCTATTATTTACAAAATTTTGAATGATAGCGACCTGAGCTAGAGTTATTTAGCTGTAAAGATGAAATATTGTATAAATAGTTACTACTTTATGAACTTTTACGCCTAAAAGTATAGTCTTTTTCAGAATTCATCCCAAGTTTTTTTACATCTTCAACTTAAAAAATATCATAGCTACAAACTTTGAAGCTTAGGTTCCATAAATCGTTAGAGTATCACACTTTATTTGCGCCAATCGCAGGGAAAACAAGCACAGAGCTGCCCAACGTCATTTTCCAGCCCTGTTTCCTCGGTGGTCCGCATGCGACGCATTTACTTTTCATTCTCATCGGAAAGCGCTCATTAGAGTCTTTAGTTCCTAAGCGAGAGTAAGGTTCGTTGTTCTACAATTGCAAGATGTCCGAAGCAGCAAAGTCCCCAGCTAAGAAGAAGCCAACAGCGCCCAAAAAGCCTGCTGATCATCCACCTTACATAGAGATGATCAAGGCTGCCATTGTAGCACTGAAGGAGCGAAACGGTTCTTCCCGCCAAGCCATCGAGAAATACATCAAAGCCAACTACAAGGTTGGTGAGGTCGGTCCTCACTTGAAGATGGCTTTGAAGAGAGGCGCTGCCAGTGGAAAACTTCTACACACCAAGGGAGTTGGTGCTTCAGGCTCCTTCAAGGTGCCCAAGGAGGAAAAGAAGGAGAAGAAACCGAAGAAGAAGCCTGCTGCAAAGAAGAAGCCCGCCGCCAAACCAAAGAAGCCCGTCGCCAAGAAGGCAGCGAAGAAACCAGCGGCAAAGAAGGCCGCGAAGAAACCAGCGGCGAAAAAGCCAGCAGCAAAGAAACCCGCAGCTAAGAAACCAGCAGCAAAGAAACCTGCAGCTAAGAAACCGGCGGCTAAGAAGCCTGCAGCTAAAAAGTCCACCAAGAAAGTAGCGAAGAAACCAGCGGCGAAGAAGCCCGCCAAGAAACCAACTAAGAAGGTTTAAGGAGTGAGGCGCTCCTTCACCAAACAAAACGGCTCTTTTAGGAGCCACCACATGAAATAAAAGAGCAATAATCAACAGAGTACTCCTCCGAAAAAAGTAATCCTTTCTTTGGATTTCTAAAGCTGTAAACTTGTGCTGTGAAAGCTCTTGGTTCGTCCTGTCTCCTATTCCTTACCCGTAAAATACCTGTACGGTACAAATTATTACTCGGTGAAATAATCAGTTTCTAAAGATTTGTTGCTCAAATTAAAGCGCGCTTTGACTTTGACGGTTTGAAAGTTGCGTGACTTGTGGTCTCATGCGCGTGTCATGCAAAAGCCAGTTGAAAGATTCGTTTTAGGTTTGCGCGCTGGATCGAAACGCGCCCAGTACCCGAGAGAGTCTGGAGCGAAAATGGATTCTCTCGATAACAATAAAGCCAAGCGAAATCATTTACTAACGGCTATTTCGGGCTATGGTTTTCGAACTTATTCTTGGAAAATAAAAAATTACATCTTTTGACAAAAAAAAAAAAACCGTCGAACATAAAAGTTTTTAGCTCACGTTATACACTGATCTGATCGGTTCTTTCGGGTCTCGTTGAGTGTTCGAAATGTCGTCGTTGGACTGTATATCGAGAAATACTGTAGCGTCCGCCAACAAGGAAAATTCGCGCGGGATCATTTCAGCTTGTCCCGAAACTAAAGTGTGTATTTGGCTCTTTATAGGACACAGCGCTGACTTGGTTTGGGTTTTTGCAACTTCAAACTCAGCTTTAATTAAAAAAGAAAGTACTGTGGATCATAACCTTCCCGAGAGGTTTCAAAAAAATCATGCAAACACTGCGTCGCCTCGCGAGTTTAGATTTTTGCTTCACAAGTACTCCGCTTTTACGTGAACTTAAGTTCTGCTATGAACACATGGCGAATCAACATCTATATATTATCTACTGTGAAGGGAATGCCACATTTTATGTAATAGATCAATTGGTCATTGCTTTTATTCATGTGGTGGCTCCTAAAGGAGCCGTTTGTTTTGTGAAAGTGTTGTCCACTTTATGCTCGCTCTCCGCGGATTCGGCGGGCCAACTGAATGTCCTTCGGCATGATGGTGACGCGCTTGGCGTGTATGGCGCACAAGTTGGTGTCTTCAAACAGACCAACAAGATAAGCCTCGCTAGCTTCTTGAAGAGCCATGACAGCGGAGCTCTGGAAACGCAGATCGGTCTTGAAATCTTGAGCGATTTCTCGCACAAGRCGCTGGAAGGGCAGCTTGCGGATCAGCAGCTCGGTGGATTTCTGGTAACGACGGATCTCACGAAGAGCGACTGTACCAGGCCTGTAACGATGAGGTTTTTTGACTCCACCGGTGGCAGGAGCACTCTTACGCGCTGCCTTTGTGGCGAGCTGTTTGCGTGGAGCTTTTCCACCAGTTGATTTTCGAGCAGTTTGCTTTGTACGTGCCATGTTCGATAACGAGAAATATCCCTGATAATAACAAAATAACGTTACAAACGAATTTATACCTGGCGGGCTTGTCCCTGATTGGTTCAAAACTATGAGATTTGATTGGTTGAATATAATATCACCAAATAATTTTACGGTTCTGTGACCGTATTTCGATCCTAAGAAACTTTCAAGAGTTTTTTTTTCAGGAGTTGGACATTTCTTCACTGAGATTTAAAGAAAAATCGCTTGAATAGATGCAAAGTTAGTTATACTTTCGTTGCGCGTTTTTATGGAGGTTTAATCAATGGTAAGGACTAATTTCCCTTTACAGAATGTGTTCGCACGTGTTGTGTGAATGAAAGCGAATACCGGCATTTTATGATAATTAACAGTATTAACTGACCCTTGGCTTTGTTGTATGTAGTCAGCCAATAAGAACGTGCATATTCGCGTTGTGTTTCCCGAGAGGTCATTCTTCTCCCTATAAAATGCATAAATGGTGCAAAGTTGGTTATATCTCTGATACAAGCAAGTAAGCAACATGTCTGGTCGCGGCAAAGGAGGCAAAGGTCTAGGAAAAGGAGGCGCCAAGCGTCACCGAAAGATCCTTCGTGACAACATCCAAGGCATCACCAAGCCAGCCATCCGTCGTCTTGCTCGCCGTGGCGGTGTCAAGCGTATCTCTGGCTTGATCTACGAGGAGACTCGTGGTGTTCTCAAAGTTTTCCTTGAGAACGTGATCCGTGATGCTGTGACATACACCGAGCACGCAAAGAGAAAGACTGTGACAGCCATGGATGTGGTGTACGCTCTGAAACGACAAGGCCGTACTCTGTACGGAT